CCACATTAAGAGTAGATCTATACAGTAAACTTAAATGTAGATAATTTCATCATTTAGTTTATTTATGGATGGATGATGCATGTCCATATAAACTATTTATACTATTAGTATTTCCAACTCCATTTCACAATCCATCCCACAGAAGCAATACGCCAAGCTTTCTGTTTCAACTGAAGTCCCATCATTTGGAGAGGAACATCAAATCAGTCTTGGGAAGGAAAGAGGATTAATGTAGGTTGTTAAAACTGCTTTGGGGATTTACCGTCATGGCAAAGTCAGACAGCAGCAATCATCGGACTCTACTGTCCTCTATGTGACTACAGGATGCTTTATCTCAATAACACACAGAGGAGAGCCAGTGATCAAATCTCTCAAATCTCATTTTGGTGATGATAATGCTGATGGTTTAATATTAAATGAGAAATGTATTTATTGAATGTTTACTTTCACGATGACCTGCCAACTATACTTCTTATGTAACGAAAGATCAAACCATCACAAACAGAACAAGTGACAGAACTTTGTTAATGATTTCATCCCATTTTGAGAAAGTTTTAGCCCTTAGTTTGACTTCTGTAACAATATAGATTATTATAGTAGCTATATCAATGACAATGCTGATAATTTAAGGGAATATGCAGAATATATTCTACATGGATCTGCAGATACGACAAATAAACTGAATGCATCTAGAGGTCATAACACCATCAGATAGATGGTCTATTTGAAACAAGCAATAACACTTCCTCAAGTCGATTAAAGAACGGTGACGTGACAACACAGACCCTCGATGCTGAACATTTAAAGTTTATGAATTAACAATAACTGCAGGTGACAATGAACGAGTCATGATAGAAAATCACTTACCAATCCGTATGACCTGCTGCTCACTAAGGTAAAACTTTGACATCAAGTAAAAAAGGAAAAATAACAGTCTTTTGCGCTTCTCCATGGCTCTGTAATCAAAAGAGGTAAAAAATAAAAAACTTCATGTCATAAAACTGGATTTAAGAAACCACAGCGCGCGCTCATCAACTTCCATTCACCTCCCATCGCGCGCAATGGAAACAGCTCCTCGAAAAAGCCAGGTATTGCCTCAAAAACAACACGTTGTCATCCTTTCCCGAAAATCCACGATGTAACGGACTCTTCAAGATATTTCAGGTAAGATTTTGTGCTGATATCCTTTGTTCATCGCTGCAAATACGTGTAGCACACAGCACGCGCACCGCGAAGATCGTCAAGAGCGCGTGCCACTGACCGACTCATGATCCAGACGCAGGATTAAAGCAGGATTTCTTCAGGACGTTATCTTCATTTTTAAGTTCACACAGATTGAATTTAAGTTTGCAGGGTCTTAAATTGTTTTAGTGTTCTGTTTCTATTTCTATTTCATTTTGTTCTTTTCAAACTAGTCACATATTCAGTAAAATGTCATAATCCGTTTTAGGCAAACTGAGATGAATGCTGTCATAGGAGAGTAGATAATTGCTCGTTGTTAGTTCATGTTCAAAATATATGTGTGCACGGGAGAGTCCACAGAAAGAGTGACGATGTCTTGGTCGCACGAAATGTTCTTTTGAACCGATTCTTCATTGACTCGGTCGAAATGATTCGCAAAGCGTTGCAAATGATAACTTTGTTTAGCAGTAATATTGTGAAAGATGGATACATAATTATTAATGTTATTAAAATACAGTGAAAAGCAGAAATTTTCCAAAAATCAAACAAAAATGTCTGAAAAAACACTTTTACTGTAAGTTATGACTCGGCTGAATTTGGCCCTGTTCATGGGAACGAACCGATTCGATAAATTGAATCGGATGTACGAACGCCACAGTGAATTAAAAAGCTTGCTTTTTGCCAAATGGTGACACACAACGCCACCTTTTGGACAAATCTTGTAACAGAAAAGAATGAAGCAGGAGATAAAAAACTAAAAAAAATGTTATTTATTTGACTAAATTAAATACATGTTGAATTATTCTGTCAGTTTTTATTTTACTCATTTATAAGTGAATTAAAAAAGACAATCCATACTGTTACCAACGCAACCATTTGTACAATTCACTGATGCATGCATTTGCATAAGAGTCTAGGCTGGCTGAGCTAAACAGTGTATCCAAACTGATGTCACTGAGGCTGGAGGTCTCAGCGATGCTTGTTTCTTCTCCTGCCCTGTCGAGGGGCCCAGAACGGCACTGCAACATCCCGGCTGTGCATAGCAAACACGAGGCCAGCCAGCCTACAAACAGCCTCCCCCGTGTGGAACCGAATGGAGCTCAGACCATGATCGGCATGGAAGATGCTGAGTGCTGTCCAGGACACAGGGATGAGAGTAGTGAGTGAAGCGAGCAGGTGCAAGCAGGCTGCTCCTATCAGGCAGCGCCTGGCACCGTTGGGACGGGTGCACTGAATGCTCATGAGTGAACTGATCCATGCAACCACAGCCAGAACCAAAGAGAGAGTTACAAAGTAAGGAGCTGACCACAGGGCTGGATCTAAATAGGCTTTGCATGTTAATGAACTGGTATCATGGGTAAAAGAACATTTAGTCCAAAGCCCTTCGTATTCTGCCCATGTTTCAGAGAGTACAGTGAGTTTCCACCTCGGTAACCCTGTGATCACGACTACACAGAGAAAGCCAAAAAAAAACCCACAAATCCTACTATATCAACACATAGGATTCTTCCTCTCCTCATCTGTTTGATTCAGCAACTCATCCATGATTTCTTCTTCTCAAAGCTCTTTTCCAACCCTCTGTTGATGGTGTCTGCAAGGGTGAAGCTAACATTGATGATCAACTGTGGCTGGTAGAAGAGAAGTAAAGTAGAATTTCAGTTTCAATCCTGGAGCATTTCAAATAATGCATGGTCACATCTTCACCTGAGTGCATTTATTGACACATTTATGATTTATTATTCATCAAAATTGACTAGTCAGCAGGCAGAGAAGTGTGTGGAAAGAATAGAAATGTTTTAAGAGGCGAAAAAAATCACAATCCATAAAGCAGATCGACCACAACAAATCATTACGCAACCCATAACCAAGCAGTTCAATGATCAGGAAATCTAACTACCCAGTCAAAACAACATAATTCCAGCACATTCAATAGATTAGCTTATTAAATGTCATTTAAAACTCATTGTACTTACTTGATGGTGGATAACATTTCTTCAAGACAATGCATAGAATCAGAGCAGGACTGATAAGGGCCCTGGGAGTGTTAGAAACGTTTTTAATAAGCATACATTTCCAAAATTGATGTTATTGTGTGGGACAACTGTCCCTTAGTTTGTTGTTTTGGTAACATTCTTCTTCCCTCAGGCTCTCATGGTCTGACAGCTACATGAAATAGAAATGTGATGTGCTATTCAGCAAATGGCACATCCTATTTATTTTTCATTCAATGACAAACTGGTTATGAGTGTTGTATTTACAGTTTCATTTTCTAAATCAAAATAGGTTTCTCAACAGCAGAGCAGAAAATCATGCTTTGGTGCACTTGATCTTATATGATCTACTTGATCTATAATGTTCAGAATTGTTTTATAAATCTAAAGACAAAACTGATATGGCTCCCACTTTATATAAGGTGTCTTCAACTACTATGCATTACATCAAAAAAAGAAAAGAAATGTTAGATACAGTGTACTTATGTTGCGAGTGGGCTACAGTTTCATGGTATGGTTAGGTTTTAAGGGGTCAGTACTTCAATAATAGATGAAATTACAGAAATTAATTACAGATATAATTAGGTGCAGGTAGGGTTTTTACATGTATTATGTAAAAAACATTTACACAATAAACGCATTGTACACCATTACTAATTTAAATATTAGTATATGTAGATAAATGTAAGAATTAGCCTAATATTATGTGGATCACTGAAATTTATACATTTTAGAAACTAGCCTAAGATGTGGAAAAACTGAATATTATGCCAGAAAAAGAACAGCTGATGATTCAAGCTGTTCTTGATATAACAATGTATCAAGAACAGCAACTACTTTGCTTGAACACACTGTTGCCTCATAGGAGAACAAAAACAAACCGCATGAGAGAAGAATAGAGGAAATGCTGACACTGATTCAGTGCCCATTAAATAGGACTAATTTGTATCACTTCTGCAGGTGGAAAGTGCAGAAAAGATATTGTAGACCTTCTGTTTTGTGCTCATTAAAGCCATTACTGATGCATTTTTATGAGGGAAAAGGCGTCAGTTTGTCGTCAGGTAGTTTGTGCAGCTTCACTGCCACCTTCTGGTTATATTCGATAGGACAAAGACATTTTCATTAATTTTCCAGTGTGGTAACAAAATCTGAGTGAGATTATGATTCCCCTGCTTCTCCCTATGAAGATTAAGATTAGGTGTAGGGTGGGCTTTAGTGATAGGGACCAATCAGGTAGCAGCATCCGCACTGAATAAACCAATCAGAAGCAGGGGAGTCAAATTTTCACAAATTTTCAGTACAAACACCTTCCATTACATGAATCCAGAAGCATTTTCAGTTTGTTTTGTATATTTCAGAGGCATCATCTGCTTAATTTATTTTTAATAAGACAAGCCACTGCTTAAAAATCACACCAAACTTTATTTAAAACACGCCAAATGGCTGCCGTGTTGACAAAGAACAGACCACGTACAAAAGTTATTTGGATAAAACTGCAAATATAAATTAGGAAAATGTAATTTTAGGTTAATTATTTCCACAGTATGAACATACACAGTCTCAAAAAGGCAGAAGGTAAAAGCAAGGAGTTTTTACACTTTTGTCTTAAATACAGCCAGTTTCACTTAATGGGATTCATGGCTAAAGGTGCAGTGATTGTTTTTGGTGGAAGGGCATCTCTTATTTTAAAATACACATGCCGGGTGTAACGTGTGCGTTTTTATCTTTATCGTTGTACAAAATACCATAAAAGACCCAAGCTCTTCAAATATCTCATTCTCACTGAGACAAATTCAGTATGAAATGACAAATCTGCTACATTTATCATTTTGTAGGGGTGCTTTGAATTAAATTCCTTATTTATGCACCTAAATGTCTTGCTGTTGAATTCACAAGCACACCAAAGCCCACTGAGCGAGGATTATGGGTAGTTTGATTTCCTAACCAATAAACAAAATTACATTATTGCAGTTCTTTCTACCATATTCAAGTAGAACATCATTTTTCTGTGCACGCACGTGTTCAGTGAACAGTGATTGTTAATACTGGGTTGCTGGTGACCTATGAACAAAAGGGAACAAAGACAGCAAGCAAGGAACAGTTGGGTTTGTAACAGGAATGGCATTAAATAGCTAGCCTGACTGTCATGACATTTTCGGGGAACGCTGCCGCATGTAGCCATTACAACTAGTGAGGTTATATGAAGCATCAAGTCACAAATCCCTGAATAAAAAGCACAACATATGAAAAATATGAAGCACAACTGAACAGATCGACCACGATCTTGTGTTTGAAACAAAACGACAACGAAAATACAACAAGATCAACTGAAAGAATATGTAGCTGCCTGTCTGTCTGTCAGTATGAAGCCTCTATAAATACATTGGCTGTACAGTTGGCTTCTTTAAATGTTCCTTGTGATGTCTGGACTTAAATGGCAGGAAGTCTGCATTGATATTAGGGTGGAGTAGCTTGAAACATCAAGAAGTTTTTTTTTTTTTTTTAATGGTGCAAGTTCTTCAGTTCTGGCTTTCAGTAGGATTGTCAGTGCATCGTGTCTGTGAAGGCTTGGACTCAGTAGCTTTCTGCCTTATTCTATAAGTCTATAAAACAAAACGTCACAGCTCTTCGCTCAGAAGATGTCGCTGTTGCAGCTGTTTTTAAAATCGTCCCTGCGAACCCAGATAACCTCACAGTCCCTCTCAGAAGCGACACCCTCCACCGCGCACTGCTTTCTCAGGAGGGTCAGCTTCAGGGGGGTGTGGGATTTTGGAGGTTTGTCCTCCGAAAGTCCATTGAGACCCTTGTCTTCGTTTCCTTCCACTGAAAGGGCCTCTAAAGACTCCTCCAGACTCGGATCAGAGGAAGGGCCCCGGACGGATTGGCAGTACTCATCGTCGTCGCTGAGGATGTCGGTCTCCTTCACGTCGTCCTGGTTTTCGTAGTGCTGCAGTTCAAACTGATTCTCCACCCAGCGATCTGTGTCTCGGATGGGCTGCTGGGGCTTCTGGAGCGAAGACAGCGGGGGCTCTGTCGGGGTGATGGGTGACAGGTCCTGGGACGAGCCGTCGTTGAAAATCACACTCGTGTCTATGGTGAAACGATTACGGATCAGCTTCCAGCGGCCGAGGGTTCGAGATGGGGCTGAAACTGGAAGAGAAGAAAGAGATAGCATGAATGCTAACTATCCTGCTTTTTTTCCCCATTTCGTTTTCTCCTTTAGGAAAGGAAGCAGCAATATTGTCTGGTGGACACTAGGATTTAAATTTGTTACATAATAATCAGCTCACCCTAAAGCCTGTAAAAAAAAAACTACTGCGTTAATCATGTTAACTAGAGAAAAATGGAAAGCAACACAGTGGGAGAGTTAGCAGAGATATAGGGAGAGGAGCAGAGAGAAGGGAAGTGTTGCAGAAAAAAGTAATCAATGTTCAATTTGTGTCAGATGTCCCCAACATACCCGCTCTGTTCATTGTGGACCGTGAACCCTTTAGCGCACAAAGCCGCTTCCCTCCGAAGGGAATATACTGCTGATTTGGAGGTAAACTCTCAGTTTTCATTAACTGACGACGTTGTTTGTCCCTCAGGATAGAATGAACCGTCTTCAGGAAGTCTTTTTTACTCTCTGCAGAGCTAAAAAAAAAATAAAAAATAAGAAAAATATTCAAATCTTTTACTGAGGAACAGAATAGAAATATACTGTTTTACTGCCACACTTAAATATATGAATGCTACTGAATTATAAAAGCTACAGAAGTTTGTAAGGACAAACTTAGTTATCTGAAGGTAAAAAAAAAAAAAAAAAAGTTTGACGCAGCAATAGCATGATTAAACATGTCGCTAACATTGCTTTAGTATGTGGCTAACATATTTTAGCATGATGCTAACATCTTTTAAACATGTTGCAGTATTGTTAGCATGTTTTAGCTAATTATTAACATCTTTTAGCACATTGCTAGCTTGCAACACAATGCTAACACATTTTTACAATGTTAACATGTTTCTAGCACGTTTCTTAAAAACTCTAGGACAAGTTACTGTTTTTTACTGTAGAGATGTACTGTACTGTACTGTTTTGTACTGAAATTTGATCTCAGAAGCAGCAGAATAATAATAAGCTTAAATGGTAGATTAGCATGTTGGTTTTGTCAAGCCAATATTATCAAGAAGGATAAGACACTCATTTCAAACAAAACATTTTACGCAAAGAAGTTTGAGATTTATGAAAGAAAATTCATTTACATAAACATTACAAGTTGCCAAATACATCAGTTTTCTTGTTATGTTACTTAAACGGAATTAAATGTGTTGGCTTACATATTTCTCAATCTAGACAAAGACAGAACATTACGTCTCTAACAATCTCTCTGGCTCCAGTCCTTCAACTTAAAGTTAAGTACCTTGTGCGTTTAGTTTTTCTTTGATTTAGTTTGAAATGCGTAATTATCATCGTTGATATATTGGTTAGTTTTCAGGCTTGACGTGTGGCATTCTGAACCTCATCTCACCTGCAGCAGATGTGGAAGGTCCTCTCGGGTCTCCCTTCAGATTCTGATCTCATGTGAATGATCTCACACATTGCAGACCCCTCTGAATCTGAAATGAAAGGAACGCCAGGTTAGTCCTTTATACTGTTAAAAGGACTGTGGGAAACAAAATCGCTGAGATCAGGACAGGGTTAATGAACCTCATGGAAGACACAGACCCTGGGACAATGAACCAGAGTGCAGACCCCAAGTTCCTGTTTGATGACCTTTTCACCCCAAACCATCGATAGGGAATATTAACAATCTGGTCTGAGCCCATAATAAGTTCCACTGAGCCAAAAGCAAACTTTACTATGCTCATCAAGTGTCATGGGATGTAAAATACATTACTTGCATTGTCAAAGTGAATCTAAAGCATCAAGCTAATATACCACACTAGTCTCAATAGGTCTGTGGGAAAAGAATGAGACCAGTAGATCAATACTTACTAGGGAGGTTGCGAACTTGGAGAGTGTCTGTAGAGATCATGTGTCTAAAACGAAAAGGGTCTCTCTCATCAAGAATCGATGCTCTGTGAGATCCACCCTAAGACAAAATAACAGCAAAATTAGGATTAAGAACTCACTTAAAATACATCTTTAATGGCATCAACCACCTGACACAATGAAAACAGGAAGTTTTATAATATCAACAGGTAGTTTTATAATATCACGAACAGATGAAAGGTCACAGAGTTTTGTTGGCCATGTAAAATAAGCCAAAGAGACTACAGAAATTAATCAAGTACAAGAGAAGGGCATCCTCGTTTCACACTCGACCATGTGCCCTTCAATAAAAACCAAAAACTACACCTCTTAAAAGCGCTAGTCTGCGAGCATTTAAAACCTATGTCAGATCTCTATTAATGAATAATGAAGAAAGGGAAAGAGCACTTACGATTTTTTTCTTGTGCTTAGAGCAGTCTTTATACACAAAAACAACTGCCGTTCTGAAAACTGAAGGGAAAAAAAATGAATTAAAACATTAAGACACACAAAACCATACAACACTAAACTTTCACCGGGTCACATTTTTACTCTGACTATTCTGAAAAGAGCCCCAAGCATCTCTATTGTGAATTACTGCTAACTTCAATGGCAAACTGACCCATTTTTAAAGCATCTGAAGGCTTTCTTCGAAAATATCTTAGCTGAGGGGGAGAAAAAAGGCATGTATAAATGCAACTTTAAGGCCTTAAGAGCTACAGGACAAGGTGGTTCCTCTAATGCCATTGTGCCCAAAGATACAGCTGGCCTTTACTGATGCAGGGAACCATTACTGTAGGGAACAGACTAATGAATAAGAGAACGGGATTCTATTTTGGGAAGAAACACTTTGCAAACACTCACTGAATGCAGCCAGCTCTAGGTCTCTCTTCCCCTTCATGAGAGAAGAGGGTGGATTGATCCAAACCACAGTGTCATGCAACAAGAGGTCGCCCATTGACAGATCAGCAACCTGGGATAAGAGTAAACATACCATTTTTTGAAAATGTTAGATGACATCAGTGGGCACATCATGACATTTGGTGGTGGCTTTACAATATTTGATGCAATAATTATCAGCAAATGCAAATTTCAGAGTTACAAAGACCTAACAGATACTAGTGGAACTGTACCTCTTTCTTGTCAAAGCTCTGCTCACTGATGAGTTGGTCAAACACGGCTCCATACTCCTCGTGAATCTTCTGCATTTCATTTATGTGACTGGCCACTTTGTTCATGGCTTTCATCGCAACTACGAAAAGATAAGAGACTTGATAAACTGCAACTAAAGAATTAAGAGAGTTACAAGCTATTTTACTGGTGGTAAATTTTTTTTTTGGAGCATTTCACCTTTAGAATTACATCCCCATTACAATTTTGTTACTGTAGTTTGTAAGAATGTGTGCAAATGACCTCTATAAAAAATTAAATAAAAAATTACTATTGTAATATTTTTCTGTAAAATGTTGGTATTAAAGAAAAAAAGATATATAATTATTATAATTTTAGAATGCATCTGTACAGTTACGATACTAATATTTATGGTTGTCTTAATTACTGCATTTTCGAACATTTAACCAACAAGCCATTTAATTTGGAGGAAAACCGCAAGGACCTTTAAAGATTCTGACAATGCTTCTCATTACAAGTTTAGCAAGATGTTTGATGGTGTTCCCAAATGCATGTTATAAGTCACCCAAACTCAGAGTAGATGCAAAATGAACCGAGCCACTCTGAGACATTGATAACACTGGGTCATGAACTGCTCGGGTGTAAACACAGTGACGTGCTTCACTCTGAGACACGCAGCACACACATTTAATTAAACTGCAATTTGATAAAGTCCACTAAGCCATATTGTGATTTCAAATTAATTTTTTTTCATTAATCGTGCAGCTCAACTGATTGACTAATCATTTAACAGGTTTACACTGACTAAGCACTGATAAACAGTCCAAGTGAACTGCAAGGGCAAGCAAATTTCAAAAGAGTAAGCAAAATCCTGTTTTCAAATGACGTGGTCTTTTTAAAATTCTTCAAAACCTGCTTATCTAGCTCAGAAGAGGAGCTGCATCATATTACACTACAAATAGATCCACCCATGGCCTAACATTATGCTCAATTAGTATCTAAATCCCCATATTTACCATCCAGGTGGTAATGCTCCTCACTGTCAGGGTCGGTGATAGAGTGAAGCTCCCTCAGGAGTAGTGGATATTTTAAGACTCTCTGAATGGGTTTGATCAGGTAGGACTCTAGCATGGAGGAGTGCTGTTGCCTGGGGTTCCTCTCAGCCAGAAACGCCTTGAACTCCGGGTCTGTTTTAGCTGCACCAAAATTGAGAAGGAGAAATTATGGGATCGCACAGGAATTTCAAATTGATTGCATCCACAAACTAGACTTTAACTTGGACAGGGGTCTTAACTCAATACACTCAAACCATTTTAAAGACCTCCAACATTTGAGTAAATCAACTTCTTAGCTTTTTCAACTGCCAGAATGTTAGACTCACATTTTAGGAAAAGTTTATACTCCCAACACATTTAACCATAAAATTATCAGTCAGTCGAGTTAAAACTTGATCCACTCTTCTCACAGGAAACATCTTCATTAAAAAACATTAGCGAAAGAGCTTGGGTGCCTTGGGAAATGCCAATTTTTTGCAGTAGACCCTTAAAAAGGGTAATCATTCTTCAGTAAAAATGCTTTGGGGTAATTAATAGCATTTGCTAATGCTATTAAATCAGTCCAGTGATAGTGCAAAGGTGTTACCTTTAGTAAGGACCTTTGGGACCTTTGTGTGGCTGGCACAAAATGCACTGTAGATCTTAAAACGGTCCGCATAGTACAGGAAGGATCCACCAAGAGAAAACAGAACTTTCTGGAAGTTAGAGGACAATGAATTAGAAAACACTGAAAGATTCATTACGAAATATGCAATTAGGAGATAATAGTGGCCTTGTTATGGTGCCAATCATATTTAGCATCTCAGATGATCCATAATCATATAATAAAAAAATGTGACTAATATAACTGCACCTTGAATTTATCCACTCTCTCCAGTTTGTCTAAATCAGGAACTAATCTGGTTCCATCTTCCAGAGTTTTCAGAAACTCCACTTGGAACTCGACCATCTCCGCCAAGTTTCCAAAAAGCACATCTAGCTATGAGTGTAAAGAGAATAAGACATTCGTAAATCTTATTTAAATCAATAATATTTTCATAAGTTAATTATATGATTAACTTTATATTTCAAAATATATAATACATTTTCAAAATAAATAAATAAATATGAATTAAAAAAAAACAACAACTGTCTCACCTCATCCTGTGAGAGGAAGCTCTCCTTCTGCAGGGGGTTCAGGTAGCGCTCTATCAAAATGTTCAGGTCCTGTAGACAGAGAGAGTCAAAGACTCGTTCATGTTTGACTTCAGCACAGCTTTTATATTAGAAGTTGTAAATCAGGAGTGATTTTCATGCAGCAGGATTATCATGATCAAATCTAACATGTTAAAATGGAAACACAATTCTTTGAAAGCACAGCAAATACTGACCTTAACATAGGTCCTCTCAGTGTCCACCAGCTCACTGATGACCTTACGGAGTTTATCCGCATCAGAGAGCTGGCGGGGGGTGAAGGGAACAGGCAGGGGTGAGATGGGGCTGGGCACACAGGATGAAGAGGAGGAAGATGTGGAGGAAAACGAGGAACAGGAAATGGGTCCCTCTGTGGAATTCATATCATGAAGGTTGCGGCAGAAAGCAGTCACCTGCTCTGTACTCTGTGGAGAGAAACAAAAATGTCAATTTCAACACCAGGAGCAATTGAAGGCTGAAAAACACCATGACTTTTAAAATCTGAACATATTAAATAAATAAAACAAATACAAAAACAACACACATGCCTCTAAAATGTTCACCAGCAACAGGCACACACCCACACAGGTATTCAGAGCATTTTGTCAGCAGCCATATCACCCTGCAGCCCAAGACTGGTTGCCCACTGAAGCTAAGCAGGGTTGAGCCTGGTCAGTACCTGGATGGGAGACCTCCTGA